CGCGGAGCGGCTGGGCCCGTGAGCCGTGGCCGCTGAGCCTGCGCGTCTGGAGCCTGTGCTCCGCAGCGGGAGAGGCCACAACAGTGAGGGGCCCGCGTACCAAAAAAAAAAAAAAAAAAAAAGACTCAGGCAGAGAGCAGTGCCAGGGACACCCTTCTAACTTCACTCTAAATGGAGGAAGAGCAGGTAGTGACCGCCCCCGTGGCTCACCCAGGTTGATGGTCTTGCCCTGAAAGTTGAGGTCTTTCAGCACCAGGACAAGGGGGCTGCCCTCAGGGGCGGGCTCCACCCAGCGGCTCACCTCGCAGCCCTTGATGTCATACCTGGGAAGTGAGGGGTGGGGGAGACAGAATTCAACCTTATACAGACTTGAGACATACAGGGAACTGACGAGGTAATAAGAAACAAGAGCTTCCACTGGGTGACCGTCCAGATTCTCAGCACAACCCCAGTCCGTTACTGTCCCCGTGTTAGAGATGAAGAAAAAGCCTCAGAGAGGTTTTTTGTTTTGTTTTGTTTTTAATTTGCCCAAGACCACACAGTGAGTAAAGGGCAGAGCAGGGATTCCAACTCAGGCCCTTGAACGTCCAGTCCAGACTTTACCCCTGCCTGTAACTGCCTCTTGGCACCTTGTCATCCCTGGGGTATCCCAGACAGAGGGGCCCAACCCTAGACGCAGCAACAGAGGGCATGAGTGAAGTCCGCGCCCTGGGAGAGCATCAGCGTGGAGCTCGCAGGCAGAGGCAGGGCTAGGAGGCTCAGAGGGCCACCTGCAATCAGAGGCTAGTTTGAATCCCTGCTCCTCATCTAGTAGCTGTGTGGCTTTCCCCTCCTCAGTTTCTCATCGACAAAATGGGGATGATAAGGACAGCTACCCCTCAAGAGTTGTTCTGGGAATAAGGAAAATGATGAATGTGTATGTCTCAACACAGCGCCCATGGCATACTGAGTGCTCAAGAGATGCTGGTCCTGGGAATCACTGTCTCCGACCCGTCAGGAGATCTTGGTAACGTCCCTTCTCCTCCCTGCGCCTCAGTTTCGCGGTCTGTCTAGTGAGTGTGGGTGCTTCAGGTGGCACATTCTGGGTGGGGCGGGGAGGCCGACTCACCTCTCGGAGATGCGGCTGGTGGGATAGAAGACGCTCTGCATGATGATGAAGTATTTCTGGAGACGGGGGTAGGGAGTGAGGGAGGACAGGATCCCACCCTCCAGCCGCCCCATCCGGCCCGGCCCCCTCACCTCGGCCTCACCCACCTTCTTTCCCCGGGCCACCCGCAGACTGTGCACTCCTGGAAAGGGAGAGGGCGTCAGGTAGAGAGGCCCCAAACTCGGCAACGCCGGGTGCATCCTGCCCCAGTTCCAGGCCATGCCTCCTTCTCGCGATCCGCCGCATCCCGAGCCTCCAGGCCACGCCCCCAGACCCCTTCCCCAGCTTGGGGTGGTGTCCCAAGTCGACCCGCTTCTAAATTTAGCCCCAAAGATGCCGTGTCCCCCAGGCCTAGCCCTGCCCATATACCCTCCTCTCGGGACTATTCAATCCCAACCCCGCCCCCTTTGGGCCCCGCCCGAGGTCTTGGCCCCGCCCACCGACCCCGCCCTCCTACGTTGCTGTCTAGGACCCGCCCCCCCACTGAACTCTGCCCCCAGCCGGCCCCGCCTCCTGTCCAGTCCCCTCCACCCTGCTCGGGCTCAGGTACCCTACGCCCCCCGTCCTGGAACCGCCCACTCCCTGACCTCCTCCCCTTCTCGCTCTCTCTCTTCACCCCTCCCCTCGTCCCGCAGTCCCGGGTCCCTGGCCGGTCATACCCAGCAACCGCGCAAGCAGCGAGTGTGGGTGCCGCTGCAGGTGCTGCACGTAGCGGGGCAGGTGGGCGAGCAGCGCCCGCACCTCCCGGCGCCGCAAGGTCTTCAGGAAGAAGCGCTGGTCGTGGCTGGGGGGCGGGACGGAGAGGTCACTGACCAGGTGGGGCAGGAGCCGCGTCCGCACCGCCCCTCTCGCCTCCTGCCCTCGCCCCCAGTCTCTGCTCCTCCATCTGACCGCTATCCGGCCCTGACCCACCCTGACCTGGCCATGCTGTCTCTCTCCTCAAGAGCCCCCCTCCGCCCCGGACACCTCTCGCACCCTTTCCCCACCCCAGCCACCAGCTCACGACAGGAAAAAGCTGGCCTTGCTCTTGGAGGTGCTGAGGAACTGCAGGTAGGGGCCGCCGGGACCCAGCGCAGCCTGATAGTCCTCCTCTGCCAGCCCTAGGGAGCGCCGCAGTCGGGCGAAGGCGGGGCCAGCCAGGGTGCCCAGCTCGAAGCCCTGCGGAAAGGAAGAGCAGCCCCGAGAGTGTCCCTGGGGCCCAGGTGTGTGCAGTTGGCTCTGGCGCGGGAGGGTCAGGGTAAGCACACCCTTCCTGCAAAGCCCCGGGGCAAGCCGTCATTCCCACTGCACAGATGGGGAAACTGAGGAGAGGAGCAGAACACACCCCCTCCCATGCAGCACTCGGGCTTTCTACCTCGTGAACCTGGGTCAGGACCTCGGAGAAATCCTCCTCCGTGGGCAGCCCCTGTAGCAAGGAGCAGAGGGGCTCAGGGCAAGTCTCAACCCCCCAGTGCCAGCCCAGGGTCTCCAAGCATCCTGTACCTGGCCTCACCCCCGTTCCCCCCAGTTTGATTCCTCCAGCCAGTGGGGACCACTCTGGGTGTGCCTGAGTTGGGCAGATAGACTGCCAGCCCTCCCAGAGCTGGAGGGAGGAGGAGAGTAACCCAAGGCAGGTCCTAGGTGTGTCTCATTCACTGCTGGGTCCCCAGCACCAGTCTCTGAGCTAGAGCCTGACGCATGTGCCCAGACACACGTTGGCCAAAGTGTCGCCAGATGCCCTCCCAGTCAAAGGGGATGGCCTAGAAGTCTAGGACTGTCTGACTCAGCCTGGGAGAAGCAGGATCAGAGAAAGCTTCCTGGAGGAGGTGCCCCCTAAGCTGAAATCTTAAGGGCAGTGGAGAGGAGGAGCAGGGTGCTCACAGGAGCAGGAACAGCAGTGGTGGCCACCAGGAAGGGAAGGAGAGCCTGAGTGACTGAAGCGAGTCAGGATGGACTGGGGAGGAGGCTGGACAGTTGGCCCTTGGGGTTGAGCCAGCAGGACCGTGAGGCCAGGCTGAGTATTGGGGAGCCATGGAAGATTTTCAGCAGGTGATGAGATTTAGAGGACTCCTACTCTCTCCCTGGACCTCCAGGTCCTGTGCTAGGACCTGGCTCACAGGATGTGGTCACACTGTGCACATGTATGCACACACACAAACAACATACATGCTCACCCGGGCCGTCCAGCTGCTGAGCTTGCAGTGGGCGACCCTTTCTGCTGAGCCAGCCTGGCCCCAGCCTAAGCTCCGGGGAGGATGGGCTGGGCTGGTGGGGTGGGGGCGGGGTCCCTTAACCACACACCCTGGCAGAACTGGGAGGGCCTCAGAGACCAAGGAGTACAATCCCTCCCATCCATTATACAGAGGTGACACTGAAGCCCAAAGAGAGGCAGAGACCCACCTAGATCACACATCAACCACCCGGGTCAGGGGCTTTCTCGCACTCCCCACACACCCTGGGCTTTCTGGCTTCCTGGCCTCAGCCCCCACCCCAGAATGTCCCTCCCTCCCTGCACCAAGCCCCTGCCTTCCTCTCCTTCTATCTAGCCCGCTCTGTTCCCCAGCCCTGCAGTATTAGCAGGACAGGGCATCAGCCTGGTCTTGCTGTCGGTGCTGTGGAGGTGTATGGGACAGACTGGCCACTCACCGTGGGCGGGTGGTCCATGGACACTTGAGTGGCAGCCCACAGCCCTGCCTGCATCATACACGTCAGCTGGTGCAGCTCATGCCCTGGGCCAATCTCAAACAGGCCTAAGCGAGACTGCTTGTCTCGTAGACGCCAGAGGAGGCCACGGCGGCCAGAGCTCGAGGTGGCAGCTCTGTGTCCAGCCTCTGGGGAGGGGGTCAGGACCTGGGGTGGGAGGCACCAGAAGCAATGAGCCTGAGGCAGCAAGCATCCCACAGGTGAGAGACCCTGGTCTGAGTCCCACATCCACTGCTTGTCAGCTCACCCCTCATCCCTCTCTGCCTCAGTTTCCTCAGTTGTAAAATGCAGATAAGGCTGGTACCCACCTCACTGGGTGTTGTGAGGGGACAGTACCTGGCATGCAGTCAGCACCCACAATAGTGATGTTTATTATCAGTAGGCAGAGCATTTGTTCTGCAGCCTCTCACTAGCTTAGGTAGATCACCTAACCTTTCTGCACCTCGTTTTCTCCTCTGTAAAATGAGAACTATAATAACTCCTTCGTGGCAGGTATTAACTGTTGTTACTGTTGAGTTTGAGCATCCTGCACAGGAACTCCTTATAGTAGGAGCTGTGATGTCAGTGATTCAGTCATCTATTCCACTCGTCTATGCCGAGTTCCTCCAGGCCAGCGCGGAGGGTCAGCACGAAGCTGAGATCATAGCTGCTGACCCCTTCGCATTGGGCGCCCACCATGTGCCCAGCACTGTCTGAGAGCTTGACCTCCTAACAGCCCTATGAAGGAGAAGCTTTTATCATTGTCTCCATTTTCCCGATAAGGAAACTGAGGAAGTTCTCGGGGGATACCCGCCGGACTCCCCGCTTCAGACCTGCGGCCCCATGTGGGGCGTGTCCCAGTCCCGCCCAGTGCAGGACCCCTTCTGGGCTTGGATGGGGGTGTGTTCGCCCTGCACGGGGAGGGGAGGTCCTGCCCCTGCCCTCCAACCCTTTCCTTTCCTGTCCTCTCTCGGGTCTGCACCTACCTCGTGGGGCCCCGGGCTCGGCGCGGCCATCGCCCCCGCAGCAGCTTCCCCGGGCTCTGGCCGCGTCCCCAGCTGCCGGGCCGCCCCGCTGCAGGAGCTAGGCCCCGCCCCTGCTTCTGGATCGACCAATCGCGTGGTGCAGGTCACGGCTGCACCCAATCCGAGCCGGGGCGCGGGGGATCGCCTGCGGGTCCCGCCCCTGGGGCTGCAGCACCCTTCGGACCGCGGTCCAGGGCTGGGCAGGGCCGCCGCGCGTTGGTTAAGGTCCCCACCGGGGGAAGACCCACATTCCCTTCCTGGGGTGGGAGACTCAGGTCTCGGGGCGCTCGGGGAGGCGGGTAACCTAAATCCAGTCCCGCCCACACACCCTGGCGTGAAATTCCCACCGACCGTATTTCGGGTGAGGAAACTAAGGTCCAGAGAGAGAAGTGACTACCTCCAGGTCACACAGGAAGTCAGGGGCGTGCATTCATTCAACACTTATTTTGAACATTCACTATGGGCCAGGAGCAGTGTAGGCCGGGGTGGCGTGGGGGGGAAGCGGATTTTAGTGGTGAGTGAGAGAGAGGAACACAGCTGCCAGCGTGAGCTTTTAAAAGCATAAATCGCATGATGTCACTCGCACGCTCTAAGCCTCCAGTGGCTTCCCACGGCACTGGAACAAAGTCCAAACATCTCGGCATGGCCCCAGGCCCATCTGCCCACTCTCCAGCCCCATCTCAAATCACTGTCCCTGCACCCAGCACACGGTCACAGGGGATCCCGGCTGGCCCTTGGCCACCGAACTCTCACACCTCCGGGCTTTTGCAGCTGCTGTTCCCTCTGCCTGAAATCCTCCCCCACCTCCACCCTCCACTTGCTTTATTCCTCATCACCTTGCCCGACTCTAAGTGTCCCCTCCCTTCGGTCATGATCACATCGCTTTATTTTTCTTCATCACACTTAACACTGTCAGAGACTGTCTTGTTCATTTATTTGTTTATTATATCTCCCCTCCCCCACCCAGAGTGGGAGTGCCAGGAGGGCAGGAACCATGCCAGTCTCCTTCCCTGGCTCAGTACCTTGCACAAACCAGTGTTTGAGAAGTACATGCTGAACCAATGTGAGTAGGATGTGCAGGGAACCTCAGTGAGTCCCAGGAAATGAAAGGCCAGTGTGACTGGAGTGAGGAGAGCTCAAGCAAGCATGCAGGCTCTTGTCGGCTGGCCATGGGAGGGAGAGGGACAGGAACCCAGAGAAGCATTGTAAGTGTGTGAGAAAGATTCTCAGAAAAAGAAAAAAAAAAAACTCAGGGACTTCCCTGGCAGTCCAGTGGTTAAGAGTCTGCACTTCCACTGCAGGGGGTGCGTGTTCGATCCCTGGTTGGGGAAACAAGATCCCGCGTGCAGCGTGGTGCGGCTAAAAATTAAAAAAAGAAAAGATGCTCAGATGTTTTCAAAAGGCCACTGGTTGTAGTGCAGTCAGATTGGAGCGGGCCATTGTGGGCAGGGGAGAGCAGTGAGGAAGCCTTTGGTGATTTAAGGCAGGGGACAGTGGCTTTGTATCTGGAAGGTGACGGGGTAAGGGGAGAATTGACAGGATTTGGGGTCATGGGGATGAGGTCGTGGAAGAGGAAAGCCAAGGTCAGTGATGTCTGCCAGGCTTCTGGCTGTGGGTCAGGGATACAGGATGATGATGCTAAGGCAGGGCACGACGGGATAGCCAGATTTGTGCAGGGGGAGACTGGGTAAGTCTGAGAATTCAGATCACGACGGGATGGATTTGAGGTGTCACTACAACAGCCGATGGGGATCTCAGGTGGGCAGCTGGTGCACGTGCAATACTTTGGGGCTCAGAAGAAAGCTGGGCTAGAGGTGAGCCTGGGTAAGGATGAGGTCACCCAGAAGAGTGTGGGGTGAAAGAGCCTGTGACGAGTCCCGAGGAACCCACCCTCTCGGGGCAGAGGAGCATGAGTGCCAGAGAGAGCATAAAGTAGGAGAACGGGTCATCCAGCGTCTGAGGGTGTCCCGGGGGGAGGTCACCGGCCAAATGTAGCAGAGGGGTCAAGGAAATGTGCTTTGGATTTAAAGACTGCACATCACGGGTGGTGAGTGCAGCCCACCTGGAATGCTGCCAAGCACAGTAGGGGTGAGGAAATGCAGGAAGCAGGTGTGGATACCCTTTTGGGAAGTTTGGCTGTGGAGGGGAAAGCGCGGGAGAGACCCGGAGGGAATTACTGGGTTGATGGAGGGTCCCTTAAACGGAGCCCGTAACATGTTCATTTAACACTGGGGGACCTTGTTGAAAGGCAGAGGCTGTTCCCTTGAGAGGGATCATCAGACAGGAGGCTCCTGCTATAGCAGTGGGAGAGGACAGGACCCAGAGTCCAGGTGGGCAGCTCTGCCTGGACTGGAAGATGGAGAGGGAGACAGGTAAGGACAGGGCAAGTGTGCCTGCAGTTGGTCTCTCTTCTCTGATGAGGGGGACACCTTTGCTAACCGGAGGAAGAATGAATGTCCAAGGTGTGAGGGGTGGAGGCTCACACTGTGAATGGGAGAGCTGGCTGCCCAGTGGGGCATGGTGGGATGCCAGGGACTAAGGCTGGGGCCTGTGCCGGTTAACCTGAACACAGTGGAACCAGCCCTGCTCTGGCTCATAACAGCCCTCTGCTCAGAGCCACGCTAAGTTGGGCTGCTGGGTACAAGAGACAGATGACAGGCTTGGCTTTTCGGGGACTAGCCTGAGGGTCCGTAAAATACCGGTGCCAGCTGGCTAGGCTGGCACGGGGGAGACCTGGTAGAGGCTGATGTGGCGTCTGGCAGATTGCCGTGCCTCCACAGACTCCGCAGCCATCAGCTGCGCCAGGCCAGACCCGTATCGGTCCCGGTCCCGGTCCCTGCTTTATCCTGTGTCCAGCACACAGATGATCCAGGAGGCATCTGAGGCACCAACTGCACAAACCAGGGTCTCCTGACCCGAGACCAATGCAGAGGCCAGCGCCCAGCCCCTCTCCAGCCCCTGAGCGGCCCAGCCCCCTGGCCAGGGATGGCACTGAGACAAACACACCACCACCGTTTATTGTTCAGCTCTCCCCAACAGGCCAGCACTGAGGCTGGGGGGCTGGGCCTCCGTGAGAAGTGGTCAATCCAGGGGCCCCCCGTGTGGCCACCCTAATGGGCTCTGGGGCCTGTCAGGCCTCCCCCTAGGCTTTCCAGGTCCAGAAATCCTTGTGGGGTCTGGGGTATGTCAGACCCGGGAAAGCTGCCTTTGTGGAGGAGCAGGACATGGGGGGAGAGGTCTCGTGACACCCCAGAACCTGCCAAGTCCAGCAACAGCATGTGACATGAGGGAAACTGAGGCAAGAGTGTAGAAGCCAGAGGAAAAAGCGACAGGGAGTCTGAAAAGTGAGGTGGGGAGGACCGGCGTTTTCCAGGCCCTGAACCTGAAGAGGGTGAGAGCGAGACTTCCAGGGACTCCTCCCTCCTGGCTTCTGGAAGGGTGAGCAGGGGCTCTGGTCAGTCAGGGGTGAGTCCTGAGCAGCTCCATCCCACAAGGGTGTCTGCAGGGTAGCCAGGCTTGAGGGGCCCTCAGTGCCTGGACGGGTCCTCTGGGCCCCCACCCTTGGTCTGCCCTGGAGAAGAAGCAGAGAAGGCGCCGGCAGCCTCATCCGTGCTGGGCCTTCACTGAGCCTTTTTGGTCACCTTCTGATTCTTCAGCATCACGTAGGTGATGAACACGCCTGGAATACACAGACCAGAAAGGTCAGGAAAGAAAGCGCAGGGTTGCTGGGAGGCCAGAGCAGGACACAGCATGGGAGAGTGACCCACACAGGGGGCCAAGCACCTACCCAACCACACTCCAGGCCACCTGGTCATCTCCCCAGTTGTTCATCAAGCCACACATCCACCCATTCATTCAAAAAACATCAGCCGGGTGCCTACTACAGGCAATTTGCTGAGTTTAGCGCTTCCAATTCTACAGGGAATAAGATCCACTCAACTATTCATCTACTCACCCAGTCAACCACCTACCCACCTACCTACACACTGACCCACTCAGCATCCATCATCCACCCATCCCGTCATCCAGACATCTGATTGTTGATGCATCCAAACCACTTTCTTGAGCACCAACTCAGTGCTACAGCTTGTGCCGGGAGCTGAGTAAACAGCAATGATAAAGCAACAGTCCTTGCCCCTTAAGGACTAGACCCCGGGAGACAGACAGGTGCAGGGATCTTGAACCGGGGTGACCAGGGGGTGAGAGGTGATGGAGGTGTGAGCAGAGTGATGGTGGTGGTGGAGGGAGCAGGAAAAAGGGAGACATCCCACTAGAGTCCAGTGAGCCTGGGGCATCGGGAAGCCTGACTTAAAGCCCTGAAGGATGAACAGGGAAACCCCAGGGGATGAGTTGGGGGCAAGGAGCCTCACGGAGACATACAGCCAGTGACAAAGTGTAGCAGCATGTTCAGGGCTGGGAGAGGGTCATGGGGTCCCTCAGACACGCTGCCCAGGGTTGGGGGAACTTACCCACAAACAGGAGCAGCAGAAGGCCGGCAGCCAGTGGGATGGCAACGGCATAGGCTTGGGGCAGGAAATACTTGTGGATGACGTGCTGACTGTCG